GCCCGTGTCCTTCCTCAAGTGCTCAGAATTACCACCTCTCTCTAGGCTTTACTACCAACCCCACTCCTCTTGGAAGCGACCCCGTCTCTCACCACACACTCCTCTCGGTGTAGTAGTGTAATACAAAGTGAATCTCATAATAAGCATAATACAACAAATAATTGTTCTCTAATATGGATGAGAACACAATGTAAGCTCACACTTAATGATACACTCCCCACAACCCAAATTATACTATGTATGAAATACTATAAGCTCAATGGTTGTGTGTGTACAAAGAGAAATAAATCAAAACTAAACTCAATTATGAAATCTAGCTTAATAAAAATAATTAACAATTGAATATATAAATGTAAAGCTAGAATTGAGTTTAGAAACACTTCTCTAAAAACAAGAAGGAGAGATTGGAAGATTGAAAGCCCAAACCGAAATTGATCTCCTCTTGTGAAACCTTCTTCAAACAAGAAGGAGAGATTGGAAGATTGAAAGCCCAAACCGAAATTGATCTCCTCTTGTGAAACCTTCTTCACACTTAAACAAACTGGAAGATTGAAAGCCCAAACCGAAATTGATCTCCTCTTGTGAAACCTTCTTCACACTTAAACAAACTTTAAAACACCCTTAAAAACTTTTAAACTTCTTTTAAAACTTTTCTCTTGGATGAATAGAACTGAGTATATGTGGGGGTATTTATAGGAACCCCAAAGCCAAGAGAAAATAAGTCAAAAAGACCAAAAATCCAAAAACAGTACAGTCTGGAAATATAACCGTTATAGTGTTATGAGTCGACTTAGTACTGTTCATGAGCTGACTCATAAGTAGCCGTTACAGGCTAAAAACCAACTTATGAGTCGACTTGTAAAAATCATGAGTCGACTCATAAACCATGGGTCGACTCATAAGATTACAAGTTGACTCATCAGAAACAAAACTCATTTTTCAGCACAGTTGTGAGTTGACTTATGACAGGTATGAGTCGACTCAACCTGATGGGTCGACTCATGATGTTGTGAGTCGACTCATCAGAAATAAATTGTAAACTATGCAGTAGTTTGTGAGTCGACTCAATACTGTTCACGAGTAGACTCATAAACATGTACACAGAAAATTTCAACTTTGAACCTAGTTAAAAAATATCAAATAAATTCTAAAAAATTATGAAACTTTGGGAATAGTGTATAAACATGTTAATGAACATGTTACAAAAGGAATTTTTAGAATTTCACTTATCATTTGTGAAAACTTGTCATTTTACAAAAATGTCCAAAACATGAAAAGTTGATATACATGAAATGAAATGTTTTGACATAAACCAAGGTTTGAAACTTTGTAAATTGATTTTATAGACTTAATAGAAGATGTATATAATGATTGTTAAGTCCATAAACTAAGAACACGATATTTTCACAAATACAATAGAATATGAAACACATAAATGTGAAAATGAAGGTATATATTGTTTTATATCTATATAGCTAAACCAAAATAACTTATCCACATATAAAACAAATAAGTATTATATATCTATTTGTTTGCAAAAATTTTGTGGATAAAACACATAAACCATTAAATTATGTGTGTATAATATTGAGCTTAAGGTATTAACACACAAGTATAAACATATACTATAAATACTATAAACTATATATCCAAGCTTGAAGGTCTTCAATATAGCTCGACTTGGTAAACTTACGGATGAAGCTTGAACTTGAATGTTTAATTTGAATTGCATTGCTTCACTCTACTATTTCCACCAACCTCCATAGGATATGATCGTGAATGCTCGATTCTATCCATCCTCTAACATATTGTTTGTCTATAATAAATAGAAAAACACAAACACTAGACAAATAACATTAGTCGTAAATTATTTGTTAAACATCATCAAAACAAGAACCAGCCCCCATGTATAAATTTTTGTGTGAGAAAGCCCCCAATATATGAAATAATTATGTTTTAGCCCCCATTTACCTTTCCAACTCAGCACACAGAGAAACATTTTCCAAAACCCAAAACTTTCCTTAACCTGTTCCCCCAAATACTTGTCTTCCTTCTCTCTCTCTCTCTCTCTCTCTCTCTCTCTCTCTCTCTCTCTCTCTCTCTCTCTCTCCCCCCTCTCTTCTCTCTTCTCACGCTAAAACCTCCGTCATCTCGAGAACCCAAATTCGAAACCCTAGTTTTTACTCAAACGTCTAGTAAATCCATAAATAATGTCTTAAAAAGTTTTTAGAAAAATGTTCCAGAACCCTAATGTGGAGAAGGGTGAAGGAGACAACACCCAAATGGAAGGAGTTCGTCACAGGTGTGGCTCGGCTCGGTTGGCGAAGGAGGATCACCAAAATCATCTGCCTCCGCCTCTGCCTTTGTATCCCCCACCAGCGGTTCTTCTTCAACATCCTCTAAGGATGAGGGAAGTAACGAGGCGATGATGACCCTATTGAGCATGAAAATGGGCCCGGAAGTTCGAGACCGCAAGATGAGACGCTCGATGGAGACCGTGCCCATCTCTAAGAAGAAGTAAGTTCCCAATCAGTTGAGTGATTTTGAATTTAATTAATTTTTGTTATAAATAATTTGTAAAATTAGGGTGTTGGATATTAGCTAAAAATATGAGTGTGAAAAAAAGAAGAAAGTTATTAGTTTATTTATTTGAAATGCGATTGAGATTTATGGATTTTGTTTAAGAAAAAAAATGGTGGTGAGAAACTAGTTATTGTATTGTAAAACTAGTTTCTTAATTTGGGAGTATGATCTCAACAATATTAAGTATAATCCTTTTGATGAAATACATGTCAATAATTCTCATTCGTTATTAATTAGCTATTAGTAATGCATGTAAATAATTATCATTTATTGTTAACGTTTAGCCTTAAGTGTCAATTATTAGCCATTCATATTAATAAATCTTGACTTTTACTAAGTTAATGCCTTAACTATTAACTAATTTTAATTCATGTTAATAGTAATCTTTTTTTGCTAGGATAAGGTCATAATTATTGCAGTTTGATATTCAATTTATTGATAATAAAAGTGGATAAAACATACCTTATTTGTAGAATTTTTGTCTTAATCTGAGTGAAATTATTATGTATGAAGTGTAGACCTATTGTATGACATATAGACTCATTGTTTGGAATTTAGTTCATTGTGTTATATTATCATGTAATATATATTGAGAAGTATAATCATAGCATATGAATTATAATATACAATCACATCCAACAATTATGAAAAGTATGTGAATATTTACAATTGGATTTGTCATATATTACATATTGAGAAGTATAGCTTGTACATCAAGTTTTTGTTTAAGTGATAGCATTACATAAAAAAGTAAATAACCGATGTTTACTTTTACACATACATGTTTCATCATTAGATATTAAAGTTCATAAATGAATGTTAACTTGTATGAACAGATGTTAAGTTTTGTTGAGTGTTGTTAATGTTCATCCGTAAGTGTTAACTATCACAAAAGGTTGTTAAGTTTTAACCTTTAATGTTAATATTTGCCACTGATGTTAATAAGTATAATGGATATTAATAATTTGAATGCTTTGTTAAGAGTAAATATTTGTTTATGTAGGAAAATTGATGTTGCAGGTGATATCAGGCCTACGACATGTTTTGGATCGTACTATGCGTAACATAAAAACCTTTAACCAAGAATGAAGAAGTGGCACTGAGATGCCTACAAGGGTAGCAATTTTGAGCACTAGGTCTTATTTGGACTTCCTGCGTGTGATCGACCAACACTAGAGCATGTGCTAAGTCATTATGTTGGTGAAAATAATAAATTCTCTTTTCTCGATTCCAAAATCGGGTTGATATTTTCAGTCAAATTTGATGAGGAGTGGATACAAAATCACACGAGCTTCCCTATTGATGGACAGTTAATTTATGGGAATAGAGACCCACACAACCGGCTCTGGAGGGAGTACTTTGAAGAAAATAAAGAAATGCTAAAGGCCAAGGCAAAAGCAAAGGCAAAGGCCAAACATAAATAAGAAGTTGGTAGCATGCAGAGATATGTAGAAGAGTTACTAAGACACTTGTTGAGTCAACCTCATAGAAAGATATTGAAGATTTTGTGTTACTTCTAATTTTGTACTAGTGTGTAATGATTTAGTACCCTAATAGCTCACAAGGCATCCCAAGACAGTTGTTTCAATATGTGGATAGTATTGAGAGAGTGAAAAATATTACGTGGGGTAAATTTATTTTTGATGAGACGAAGAGAGGCATACAAATTGCCGTGGAAGGAATGAGAAAGTCAGGGGTTACATACATACCTAGATGCATGCTACTCATTCATGTAAGTTGCATGTTCATATGGTTTGCTTTTTATTTTAGTTGTTACCAGTTTTGATAACTATGATAAAAGTTAACATGCATCAGAAAACATGTACAAGATTGAAAGTTAAAAGAATATGGTGAAAAGTAACATGTTAATATGAAAGTTAAGATATGAAAATGAAAGGTAACATTAAAATGTGATAGTTAACATGTACGGCTGAATGTTAACATGTAATAGTGAAAGTTAACCTTTAAGTGTGAAAGTTAGCTATTTACATTGAAGTTGAACAAAGAGTTTTGAAAGTTAGAAAGAAAAATTATGACAAATAATTGTTGCTTCTCCTCCATATTTTTCATGTTATCTATAGTTTTACTAGTTTATAAAAGCTTAAAATATTGTTCATTCTATTTTGACAAATATGGTACTACGAGATGACAGACATTAAAAAATCAGCCGTGAACTTGAGATGGAAGCCTCCATTGACCAATTGGGTAAGGGTTGGAGGGATGGCTGAAGCTTTGAGGAGAGATACAATTATTTCCAAGGCAAGGAAAGCAAGGATTAAAATCGTAGAGAAACCAATTTCTCCCAGCAGCCCACGGAGTGAGAAATACCCGCAAAGGGAGCCCAGTCAGAAGAAGAATGATATATCTCATCATGGAAAAAAAGAATCCCTCCCCCCATCTCTGGTAGGAGTAAATCTATGGAGCAATCACTATCGAAGAAGAAGGAGAAGCAAGAAAAAGTTAAGGATAAGAAGCCAGAGAAGGTGAAAGATAGATCTAAGAGCTCATCAATAGGCTACGTAAGCATCAATTATTTTTTTGCACATTCTTGCATATTTATATTGAATGAAATTTTATAACTTTATCATTATTACATTTAAATTTAGATTGTTTCATGTTAACTTTCTTTGTGCATGTTCGTGTACATTGTTTCATGTTGAGTTAGTATTAAATGTTAATATTCAGCAGAATATGTGAATTCTCAGTGTAACATGATAAATTTTATCCTTACATGCTATCTTTCATGCTTACATGTTATATTTTATTCTTACATATTAACTTTAGTTTGTACATGTTAATTTTTAACTTAACATGTTAACTTTCATCCTTACATGTTAGCATTTATAATTTTATTGATTTTCATGACTATTATCCTTACTTTTTTCATTGTTTATATAACTATAATGGGTATATGGTTTTTCTTTTAGATTTTCTCCTGGCATATCAGTGATGCTATTGAAAGAGAAGATGAGATAGAGAAGTTACCAAATAATGAGCAAATTCATTTTTTGGAGGAATACTACCAAACTAAATTAAAAATTGCTCCATGTTATCAAGCGTAGCAAGCAATATTAGTAGGATGCTTGCGCCAAGGAGATACAACGACTTAATAGGAAATTAGAGATCTGTGAAGGAACCGGTGATGTCATTGACCCCGAAGACCTAAAGAAGAATGTGAAGAATGTTATGACCCAGAATGATAGACATACTAAGGCTGCACAAAAGAAGAAGAAAAGTAGTTTAGATTCTTTTGATAAGGGTGATGATATTGATTACTTCGATTATGACGATGACCCCGAAGACCTAAAGAAGAATGTGAAGAATGTTATGACCCAGAATGATAGGCATACTAAGGCTGCACAAAAGAAGAAGAAAAGTAGTTTGGATTCTTTTGATAAGGGTGATGATATTGATTGCTTCGATTATGACGATGTAACCAATATTGGAAAGGAAGCTTCTCATATTGTGGAGGAGGTTGTGCAAATGGAGAAGGAAATAGATAAAGTAGAAGAGAAAAAACAAGAAGTTGTGCAAGAAGAGAAGGAAGTAGAGCAAGAAGAAGGGCAAGAAGTGGATGTTGAGAATGTGAAAAAAGAGAAATAGAAGAAAGAAGGGGAAGAAGAGGATTGTGAGAATGTGGAGAAACAAGAAGAAAAGAGAGAGGAAGAGAAAGAAGAAGAGAAGAAAGAGGAAGAAAAGGAGGAGGAGGAGAAAGAGGAAGAGAAAGAAGAAGGGAAGAAAGAGGAAGAAAAAGAGGAGGAGAAAAAGGAGAATGTTGAAGAGTCATCAATTGAGCAACTCATTGTCGCACCGGAGGCAAAATGTTTCAAAAGGGACAAGGGGACCAAGTACCAGGATTAGTATGTGATCACAGCTAGTCCAAACCCCATTCACTAAAGAAAAAAAAGAATAAAGTTGATGAAGAGATAATTATAGTATTACACCAGAAGGATGATGAGAGGGGGAAAAAAAATCTGGTACTACTATAAGCCTGATGAGTACAACAAGGATTTTCTAAAGAACAGAAAAATCAAGAAGGAGGAGGAGGCTCTTCTGAAATTGTTAAACGAGGGTATTCCAAATGTTTGTTGAGAGGTTTGTGTTTATATAACCCCCGGATTTATTGGGTGTTTATTTCCAAATCTTGTTTATCGGGTAATAAAAGTCCTTATATGGGTTGGAACAAGCTCAAGAGCTTGATATAGTTGCTTCTCTCATTTGTAAAAATCAAGGATGATTTGGTTTTATACTTTTAAAGATGAATTTTCCCCATAGTTCATGATTCTTGTACGTTTTGTAATCTTATTTTTGAACTATGAAAATTTTGTTTTGATTTTTTCTTTTGAATTCATTATATAGCATAAATAGATGATTCAAATTTTAAATATGCTTTATAATGTATTCTATGAGTGGTTTGATCAAAGTTCTTCAAAGAATTTTTTTTTTGTTGATCAAACATCATTTTTGGGCTTAAAACTTGATTTATGATTTCATTAATTAATTTATTTTCATTTGAAAACTTTTTGCATGATTCTCATGTTTCTCTTCTTTTAATTTCATAAATCTATTCTTATACATGATTTTTATGTTAGTATAATGAGACACTATCTTTATAATGACATATCATTATGTGTCCTCATTGTATCTTTTGTATGTGAGTGGTGTTTAGCATATTTTTTATATATGCTTGCTCACATATATTTGCCTTGATCTTTATTATATATTCCATAAGGCATTTTGATAGGGAGAGTATATGCTTATTTGTAGGGGGAGCTTTCGCTCTCTTCATTCTTTTGTTTTTCCCTTTTTGATGTTGTCAAAGCGGGATAAATATTGTGAGTATAGCCTTTCTTATTTATATGCATGATATATTCTAAGTTATATATTCATTTCTTTTTATTTATTTTCATGCATATATCTTTTTTGTAAATTGTTTGTCATCATAAAAAAGGGGGAGATTGTTGGCCTCTTTGTTTTAATGATGTTTAACAAACAATTTACCACTAATATTATTTATCTAGTGTTTGTGTATTTCTATTTATTGTAGACAAACAACGTGTTGGAGGATGGATGAAATTACACATTCACGATAATATCCAATGGAGGTTGACGGAATAGTGGAGTGAAGCTATGCAACCCAAGTTAAAGATTCAAGTTCAAGCTTCATCCGTAAGTGTACCAAGTCAACCTTATTGAAGATCAAGATCAAACTTGAGTAATTTAGTTAAGGTGTTTATATTATGTGTGTTAAGTACTTTTAGCTCAATCATGTATACACACACATTTTATTGGTTTCTTTGTATATATATGTAGTTATATATATACAACACAAGTTTTGGTTTTCATGTTTACAAATATGAAATTACATATTTCATATTTATTATATATACAACACAAGTTTTGGTTTTCATGTTTACAAATATGAAATTACATATTTCATATTTATTATTGTGTTTTGGTTTAGCTACATAGATATAAAACAACAAACAAAGTTTTTCACATTTTTATTTGTTTCATACTCTATTGTGTTTAAGAATATATTGCATAGAATATACAATTTTGTGAAAATATTGTATTCTTAGTTTTTGGACTTAACTATAATCATATACATATTTTATTAAGTCTACAAAATCATTTTGTAAAACTTCAAAACATGGTTTAGTCAAAATATCAAAATTCACGTGTTTACATTTTTGTGTTTTGGACTTATTTGTAAAATGATGATATTTTACAAATGGGAAGAGGTTTTTGAAAACCAATCTTTGTAGCATGTTCATTATCATGTCTACAATCATTTTCTAAAGTTTTACATTTTTGAAATTTATTTACTATTTTTAATAGAGCATTGAAACTCACTTTCAAAACCATGTCAGACTGATAACCTATTATCAGTCGACCGATCAGTCGACTGAAGAAAGTGCCTGGAATGTTTATTTTGCTCTCTGTTCTATTTTCGTTGACTGACCAGTCGACTGAAGTTTTTTAGTCGACTGGAAATATATTTTAGTCGACCGATAAGCTCGTATTTGAATATGATGTTCAGCTTATCAGTCTATTGGCGGCGCCCGTCAGTCGATTGACAGCCTGTCAAACGACTAATTTTGTACATAATCTATTTCTTGGTTTTTGTGAGATTTTTGTTGAATTTCTCTGGGTTTTGGCTGATACCTTCTCTTTCTATAAATACCCTACTGCCTTCAACTCTCAAAACATCTCAAGAAATGTTTTAAACAAGTTTAATAAGGGTTTTAAAGTTTGTTTAGTGTGTTTAAAAGAGTTTTGTTTATGAAGAAGTTTCTTACAAGTGGAGGAGATCATCTACATTGTTTGGGCTTCATTTTAATCCATCTCTCCATCTTGTTTCTTCAGAGAAGAATTTCTAAACTCAATACTAGCTTTATATTAATTATTTGTTGTTTATCATTTTTAACAAGCTAGGATTTACATTGAGTTTATGATTGATTTTCTCATTGCTTACACACACAACCATTAAGCTTATTGTATTTGCATACATTGTATAATTAGCTTGTGGGAAGTTGTAACAATTGAGAGTGAGCTTACATTGTGTTCTCATCCATATTAGAGAACAATCATTTGATGTATTGTGCTTATTATGAGATTCACTTTGTATTACACTAGTACACCGATAGGAGTATGTGGTGAGAGACGGAGTCACTTCCAAGAGGAGTGGCATCAGTTGACGAACCTAGGGAGAGGTTGTATCCGAGCACTTGAGGAAGGACACAGACTAGAGACCAACACTTAGAGAGTGTGGAGTGTAGTTATATTTTGAGATTGTGATCGTTGATCGGTGAGCATTGAAAACTGATATTATGTGGTGTAAACGTTATTCGGGTGAGCGTAGAAAACCCGATTGTGATAGTGGATTTCTCCCTAGGAGTGAGGAGCGGAGACGTAGGACGGAAGGTCCGAACTCCGTGATCATATTGTGTGTTTGCATTGTTTATATTGCCTTATAACAATTGTATCTTTAGTTTAGATTATTTAACCTTATGTTGTTTATATATCCTTGCATATATTTCACCATATAGGATATATCTTTTTGTTCATATTGCATATTCTTACTCATAACATATTGTATATCTATCTTATAAGAATAATTTATTAATAAGTTTTAATTAGCATAAAATCCGATTAGATTAGCATAAGGCCTTAATTACCCCCCTCTAGGGTCTAACACTTTGTACCTACACCTGTTCATTATTTAATTCCACTAGAGAGATATGACTGTGTTGGTGAAATGTGTTGATGCACAGTGTGGGTGCATGGCAAGTTGAACATTCTTGGGTTCACCTTGGACTGCGACCTTGTGTGAAACCAGAGATGTCACAGTTAGTATCAGAGCTCTAGTTCCAGCATCCTTAGGATCATCCCGTGTTGAGTGGTGGAGTTATGATAGAGTTTCCAAGGATTCATGTATAAAGTCTGCTGGAAATTCCTAGATTTAGTGAGTACGTTATACGTATAACTCGAAAATTATGAATTTTTTTTATGAAAATTATCTTACTTTGATTATAAAGTATTTGTATGAATGATATGTGATACGTATTCCCTATTGTTATATGTTACATTATTACGCTTGAGGTCTCAGTTACTGTGTCTAATAAGCTCTACTCTTGAACTTATAGATGTCAGGATGAGCTGGCCGAGCTGAGCCAGAGCCCGAGCCGCAACAGGCTCCACAGTATTTTATTGATATCATAGCGCTAATTTTAGCTAGACTAGCAGCACTAGAGGAGCAAATGACAAATCAAATTTTGCCGGCAACACCACCTCCTGTGGTTCCACCATCATTACCAATGCTAGTTATGCCTATTGCAGAGGCATACCCAGGAGTTACACCAAAACTAGCTATTGTTAAAGCCGCAAAGCAAGAGGGGATCTCTAAAACAAAACGGTCCGGAGATAAGAGCAAGATCAAGAGAACATTTACAGGACCCGGAGGACCTCAGCAGCAGAGTGGACCTCAACTGAGTGATCATCAGCAGCAGCAGGGTGCTCGTTCGAAAGGGACAACAGGATTAGAAAGCACCAAAGCAGCACAGATTTTAAGGAAATTGTTACAATTGCAACAAGTATGGACATCTAGCCAGGGACTGCCACAGCGTGTTGATAGGAAGACAGCAAGACAAGGGTTAAGGATCACAGCAGGATCATAGAGCGTCGAAATAGCACAGGTTTCAGGGTGCATGTTTTCACTGCCACAAGTTCGGTCACAGAACAATAATGTGTCGCAAAACACTAGCAGGAGACCAGCAGGGCAAATGTTAGATTAATCACCAGAACCGAGGCCATGACCAGCAACAGAGAGTTGAGACACCACCATCAGTTCTGAGGATCAATGGTCAGGTGCATGCTATTCAGGAGTTACCTCAGAGTCAGATAGTTTTGTATATTGTAGATCCTTCAACGCAGCAGACTACAACTTCCGATCGAGCTTTTGTAATGTACCACGTGATCATGATGCGAACGGGGCCATAGTAGAAGGTATGTTCCTTATGAACTCCTTCCCAGCTTGTATCTATTTAATTCAGGAGCTTCACATTCTTTTTATCTATTATGCTTTCACGGATAGACTTTAG